TTATAATGGAACAGTAAACATTTCTCTAAATATTACTTTTATACTAAAGATCCCACAGGAGTATGAATGAAAATGGGTGGATTTAAAATACGCTGACCAAAATAGGGACCCTTTTATATAAATCCACAGTTTTTGGTATTTGATTCGTTTATCTCGCCGAAACTAAAGAAAATTACTTTGATCATACTATCCTCAAACATTCAAAAAAGGTTTAGTATAGAGCACCAGAGATGTCACTTTGCAATTTAGTAGGTATATATTTCGAGTCGTTGATTAGGTCACTGTTGTTAATGGATTTGTTAAATTTGAATTTAATGATAAATTGAGCAAAACTGCTGTGTCAGCATCTATTTCTAAGAGATATCTTATAATCTATTGATATAGTTTATTTTTCTTTCAGTAGTTGAACTCATAGGCCTATATATTAACTAAGTTAAAATTAACTTTGGTTAATAGGCCTATGGTAGAATATGTTAATACGAAAAACAACGCATGCAAGTAACTATTAATATACCTAGATATTACTATTATTATTATTGATCTTAACTCATGAATTAATAAATTCGTACTCTATGAATAGGATCGTGTTTATAATAGCTTAAAATAATTCTAAGTATATTGAATATTTTATTGTGTATTTGCGTATGGAAAATTATAATATACGAAATTGCGAACAGTTTCAATCACAATAAATTAATAACTAAATTTGTAAGAGGAAATATCATTATGTTTATGTTATTCGAAAATACGATTAAACAATAAACCCAAAGTCGTGCGCAGCTCGTAATAGTTGTGGGAGAGTTAGCCTAACCAATGATACTTGAAAAAAATGAATTTAGGTTATATAAAATTACTTTAATTTTTGTCACCGGTCATCGGCCACTATTTAAAGTGTAAATGCAGTCATTCAAAAGTTCAAAACAACTATATGCTTTTGCTAAGCTATAGTGGGATTAAAGGTTAAAAAATATATAACAGGGAACATCATATTAAAATAACATTATTGTAATAGATAGAGCGTTTCCCAAAGTGTGTTCCGCGGAACCTTAGGGTTCCGTGGGACAATGTCAAGGGTTCCGTTAGATTTATGAGATTATTGAGAAAATTATGTTTATTTAATGTTTGTTGTTTAAAAAATGTTTGATTGAACATTTTTTTTTAAACTAAGTTTAATAATGAAAAGTCATTAACAGTATCATTAAAATATTATTTGGACTTGAGAGTTTAAGGAATTGATTTTCCTTTTTTAATTTACAAAAATTGTGGTTGGGTTGGATTAGACATTAGGGTTCCGCGAAGCACAAACAATTTTTTAAGGGTGCCGTGGTCGTAAAAGTTTGGGAACCGCTGAATTAGACTACCTCCTTCGTTACAGGTAATATCATCTATCAATAATTTAATAATCTAATTTTTCTAGATATTAAAGTAGAAAGTTATTATTAAGGTTTTGTGGTACAAAAAAAATTCAAAAATCACAATACTTATAGGTTTCATAGTCAAATTTATAAATAGCTAAACAAAAGTCAAGAGAAGAAGAAAAAAAAGTAATTTCGAAAATTGTATCATGCCTAAAATATGCTAATATAAATATTTGGTGAAATGTAAGTAATTGCAATGGTCATGATAGTTATTTATTTTTGAATCTCAACAAAAAAAATTTTCTTTTTCATAACTTTTTTTCACGTTTTTCCCGACTTTTTTGAAAAGTATGATTTCATTTTTATTTTTCATACCCGGGATACAATTTTCTACGTGTAACCATATTGAATCATTTTTCTGTTATTAAAAGTATTTTCGTGTATAGAAAAAAACACACACTTCATTGTATAACCAGTTATTGATCAGAAGCCAGAGTGATTTAAATAACTATTGAATGAATTTACTATTATTATTACTTTTAAATTTTACTTTAAGTTTTGTCAACCTAATATTTATAGATGTACTCATATTATTATATACAATTGTATTGTATGTTTAGTATATTTTATATTCAATATCTAATTTCAAATGATAATTCGGACTTCGTATAATGCAGACATGTCAAAATTTTATCTGTTTCAGAAGAATTGTAAAACGAATACAATTTTCAAGTTTATTTTATATTATACACAGACAGTTCTTGTTTGATTATTTAATGCAAAAATGTAAAGTTTAAAAAAATGTTGTGATTACAGTTTTCAAACAAATACGTCTATCACATTACCTAGCTGTACTTTTCTAGGTTTTTTTATAATACTCAAAAAGTAATAACAAACTTATTTTTAAGTACCTATCTTACATTTTAGCATAAAAAAACATACATTTAAAAAAAAGAATAATATTGTTTAAAAACGCCGAGATGCTGGACAGTTCTTTTTAGCGAAATGTGTACATTTTTAATTGATTCACTTAAACCTTAGATAACCTTCTTCCAGTGTTCAAAGTGAATGATTAGAGAAATAAAATATACTTCATTGATCTTTTTTTTTCGTTATTTTCACCAATGAATATAATATCATGGCTGGAAGACGAAGGTGTTATTGCGATAAAATTAGTTAAAAAATTAGTGATTCATATTCTACCAAACGAATAAGTGGTACAAGAGAGTGTAGGAAAACCACCAAAAATCATTTATTACCAACCGTCCTCAGTTATTCGGAAAACTAGGTCAGGTCTTACATTATCTGCTAGGGTCAGAGATGAATTAAGATTTAAAAATAATTTGGTCTGTATCCGACCTCCGTCAAAAGCTTAATAGTGGTTAAAACTGCAGGATAAAAACACGTTTGAGTTGTTGCTTTCGTTAAAAACAGAACTGTCACACATATCAAACATGCAATTTTAAGTAAATAATATAGACAAGTAAATTATAACATTATGTAATTCAACTTGTTTAAGTAAGTAAATTGATGAAAAATTTCCTCTGATTTAGTGGATAATTGTAAAATACAACAATTTATAAAATAGTCAATATTATTAATTTATACATTTTTTGTTGCTGAATAGCGAAATGCATTTGAATCATTTGAGTAATTTGCAAAAAGTTTCTAATATAAAGTATTTTCAGAGGCACTTAAAATCAATAAAATCAAATAAAGTCAGTGGTTACAAAAAATTGTAAAATTGTGAGTGAAACGTCATTGACAAACTAATAAATATTGAAAAAAGCAAACATACTACATATTATAATGATTTATTTTTAAATAAGTGTAATTCAAATTTAAAATCATAGACTATAGTTAGTATTAATATAATATGTATATTTTTTTTTTCATTTGAATGAGTCACAACTGCAAAGATAATTGGCTGCATTTATTAAAAACAAGAAGAAAAAAAATTTACGTTTTGCATTGAATATTGCATTTATTTATTTATATTGATGAATGATGAACGAATAAAAATATTCTATCACTATGTAATACGAACGTGACAAAACTAACTACAGTATTCATTTTATGGTCTATAGGGTCTATGTAGTTTTAAACAATACTATAAAAACAAATGCAATGGTTACCTACCTAATCATAATAAATAATGTGTTTAGGTCTAGGATATTTTTTCCGCAGTGAATTTCGTCGAATTAAATGGTGAAATAATAGACCACTGGGGTATAGAGGCAAATTATTATTCCGAGTACCTAAATGCAATAAATTGGCATCACAGTAGTCAGTATAATATTATATCGAAGCTATACAATCAATACGAATCGCATAGGATATATTTTAGTGTGATAAATAATAACACTCATCATATTGTTCGCGTCAGTACAATAATAATCGTAAAAACAACTTAATTTGAATATCGTATGGTATTTCGGACTGCAAAATTGTGTCCGTTAAAATATTATCAACAGGACCCATTTAATATCATAATGCATATTTCCTCTGAATGTGTTATTTGAAATAGCTAAATAATTAACTTCATTTTATAATCATATAATAGCTTGCTAAATTATAATTGTTATTAGTTATTTCATGTTTTATAGGTGTTATTTTATCGTTATGATGTTGTGTTCAATGAATTTTGTATTATTAAATAACAACTGCCATTCAATATAAAATGCCAATAATGTATTGTTTTTAAAAATGATATTTTAATTTTTGTATGTAGATAGCCATCATAGGTAAGAACTATCTAGACGAATAACAAATAATTAATTATAATTTATGATTATAATTATTTTTACTATTATTATAATTTTTCTTTTATGATATCAATGGACAATGAGTATAGGTAATGCCGTACTGGTACTTATCCTAAATTAAAAAAAACACTTTCATCTTTTGACTTTAGATCATTGTTTCGTAATATCTTATTACACAAACGATGTCAAGTGTATTTCAACATTTGTAAATATAATTTAAAAGTTGTTGAGCTTAACGTCGAACGTAATATATAGTTGTCAGAAAGACAAAATTAATTATAGTGAATGTTTTCATCAACGTTGTTTTCGATTTGAAAGACACATTGTTTAAAAATAATTAAATTTTAGAATATATCTCAATTTGTAGAACTGTTTAACGTGTAGGTATACCAAAATATAGTTATGGTACTGAACTTTACCTACTTAAACAATTTGCATTACATTCTAACCCTATACAAAACTAAAAATTAAAATGTAACCATTTAAAAATTACTAAAATATGGACGACTGAGACAGTTGTATCTTTTAATTTTAATTTTACTTTTAAATTGTATAACTTATTAAACAAATGTTGGACTTAAAAAATAAAAAATCATATAGTCATCCAATAATGTGTGATAGCAATAACTGTAAAAATTCATTAAATACGAGATAAAAATATGAATATATTTGACTTAAGTGGAATAGATTTCAGCATATTTTTATAAGTTCATATTTATTTAGGTTTTAGCAATTTAGATACATTATACTACAGTTTTAACATAATTTTCATGTTCTAATTTTGGATCTAAACTCGATCCTGATATAGGTGATAACGTAGGTATAATGTATTGTAACTTATATGTTAATAATAAGTAGTAATATGCATTCGACTCACCGTTATTATTCGATGCGTTTTCCCTTACCTGCAACAAAATTATAAAATTATTTATATTATACAACTGTAATTTTTTTTTTTACATTTTTAATTATTTTGTCTATTGGCTAGAATTGTCAATGAGTGTGCAAGGCTCTTTTTTGTTTTATTTGCTGCAAATTTGCTACGGCACAGAGCAGTTTGTTATTACGACGAACACGTAAATAATTTATAATTAAAATTAAAATTATAATACATTATACTTGATGACGATGTTATGAGTTGGTATGTGGTCTCGTCGTCATTTGTTACTACACCGAACTCATAAATAAAATATATGATTATAACTATTATTATTTTCATGCAATTGAAAAGACATGTGTCTTTCTCAACGAGGAAAAATTTTTATTTGAGAACATTGAAATATATTATGTATACGATATGTACCTGTATACTATTATACAGCCTTCGTAATCCAAGTAAATAATTTTAAACACGCTTGCCTCATCTCATTAATACAATGAAATATTTTAATTCAATTTTATAACCCGTCATATTAATATAATTACATTGGTTTTCAATTGTTAGTAAAATATAATAATATTATGTTGCTATTAGTTCTCAAAAGTTAATTCACAAATCATAATATTATACTGTCAAATAAATGCATATTTCGTGAACTATACTACATTTTATGATATTCATCATCCTCGACCTCTGTAAGAAATGTCTCCGAACATAAGCAAATATTTTATGTCAGTGGTTACATACGACGACGTTGATGAAACATAACTCGTTGTAGGTTGTACATTTATTATTTACCTGTCTTAGGTGTATTCACAAATTTACCACACACGGAAAATATTGCCAAAAACCACTTAATAAACACATACCTAGTAAAATTATATGTCATGTTTTATTTTATTTTTTTCATTTAATCTCCTGCTTGTATTATAGGGCAGTAATAATATTCCACTGCAGCGAGAAGCGTGTCATATATACAGACAGCTATGTCAAGCTAGTGATACTAAAAAATTCCATCTGCAGGATTATTAATTTAGCTGTATATGAAATATTTTAATCTCGAATTCCAAAATTATTTTCATCACTATGCGGTTTAATAATGATGTTCACGAATCTTTATAGTAATTACTAACGGTTGGAATATCCCTATTCAGTTCACTTTAACTGATAAATTAATATGATACGTTTTATTATCATTGTATGAAGGTGGACGAATTGGCGCAATATTTTGGTACAAGTAAAGACACCTGCTGCAGTCACGTTGAATAATGATATAATAATTTAATATTTAACATTACCACCTTAAATCTAGATAATTAGATGTAATATCACTACAAAACTAATTCGTTGGTATTACACTACCATATAACGAGAAATGTCCATATTCGACAGAGAAAAAAAACTTTTTTAAAATTCAAAGTAAAATGTGTGTGGAGATTGCAGGATTTCATATCGTATAATGTGTATAGGTAGTTATTTAAACACTAAAGGATGCATTTAAAAAATGTTCTTCAATAATGAGATTCATAATGTGAATCGTTCATATTTGTAGCTTGTGGTAATCACATATTATGAGGGTTGAGATAGGTAGGTTCATTAAGGGATGTATTAAAATTTGAAGTGCCTCCTGGATTATTGATTACCTAGCAGGTAACCATTACCAAGTGTAAAGTTTAATGATTCATGTATCAATATATTATACGTAACCACGTAGGTAGGTAGGTACATTTTCATTAAACAATAATAATTATTATTTATTATCATGTAATATATTTTATTTTCCTATATTCTTATGATCAAATCGTAAATTATGATTATGTTAGTGATTTCAGCCCTAAAATTTTGGGTTCGCCCACTAAAAATACACAAGTTACGCAACAATGAAAATACATTTTACAAATTGCCGTTTTCTGATAACTACATTTTTTCATAAATACTAAAAATATAATTCATGTGTTGATAATTGTTTGTTTAATTTTTAAATTATTTATTAGATGAGACGATATGATATGAATTGTTTTAGCACTAAATAATTTCAGTATGGGTACACGTGGAACGACGAATGGCCATATCTGATGTTATACACGTATGTCCGATGCGTAGTCGATAATAATATAATAATTCGATAAAAATCCATAGCAATTTTAACATCATAATTAATTACGACGATGGGGCAGTAGTATATTTCATGGAATTCAAATATTAGTTATAGGTTTTTGACCATATATAATGCAACAGAAACGATGTATACCGATTGACCACGTACAATAAAATAATATGACCTTTATAGTTTTTTTATAATATATTTGTGAAATATTTATTGGGGGGGGGGGGGGTAGGGTATTACAGACAGCACTTATAATAACAGACTGTACAAATATTCAATTTGTATATACTATATTCCGTTTTAAATTAAAAAAACAAACGTTAGTATAAATTCGAAGCTTAAATAGTTTAAATTATTTCAACAAAACTTATTTTTTACATGTCCCCATAACCTGATAACCCTTCTCATTGTTCACGAAATTCTCTGATATCAGTGAACATCGTGTAAGACTTTTGTTATAATAAACATAAACTAAAATTAACATATTTCTGATGAAATCTAAATTATGTGGAATCTAAACTTAATATTTTATAAATAACTGCAATGTTTAGTAAAGTGTTCAAATGTATTTCAATTGTAACACATCTAAATATGACATTCATGAGTCACACACACGAGTCTATTGACGTGAGATATACCTGGTCCTATCACATTACGTACAATATCGGTTTTACAATAACAATTTTGCAATAAACTGGGTTAAAATAAAATAATATTACTTGTGAGTGCATTGTAGTTTTTGTTTATAACGTTTTATTATATTATAAAAAATAATCATATCGTATTTTGAATAATACCAATCAATCTAGTGAAACAAAAATAATATGCTTTCACGTTACTATAGTTATATAATTTTTTGTGGTATATTGTTGAGTTATATAATAATCAATAAAGCAGACTTTAATTGCATTACAAATATGTATAATCAATTATACTTGTTGTATTTAATCATGTTGACTTATCTTTTAAAGATCCTACCAACTAGACACGAAATGAGATTTATAAATAGATGAATTATACTTATATAATATACTAGTTGATTTGAAAAATGTAACAATTCCTCTTCAAAAAAAAATAGATTCGACAGAAAAAAAATATATAAGCTTAATATAAACAATAATTGTTTGGCACAAAAACAAAAAAAAAACCATAGCACGCTAGTTGATATTTCTTATCTACAAGGAAAATTCACGAATCATAAATATGTTTTTGTTAATAAGTATCTAACCGTGACAACAAAAACTTCACGAAAAATCGGCCGAAACAAAAAAAAGATGTATCCAGCCGAGTAAAATAAATAAATCATGAAAAGGTTTTCAACATTTTATAAATTACGACTTAAATAGTTACGAATATGAGTATTATAATATTTGATTGAATATCACATAAGTTTATTAATTATAACAATCCTCCTTCATTTATTCTCAATTGCTCCTATTACTTCGAAAGTCTAATCATTTTAATCAGATTGTCTTAATAGAGATGACTGCGTTTTCGAGACGACTTTATATATGGTAGGTTTTAGAACTTAATTCTAAACCTATAACGGGCACATAAATATATCAATTAGATAGCATGATAATGAAAAGTGATGGGTAAGTAATAATTAGTATTTATTGTTTTCAACTATAGTTAAAACACCATTCAGTATGATATACTGGAACTGTTATTGGTAATTGGATTAAGTTTTTGTACGTCCATTGTAAATTATCAGTGTGCAAGTTCAGATGACAAAAGCACACGGCGAAACACGAACAAAAATAATATAGGCAGGACGCAGGTACATTTTAAATAGTTAAATTTTTAATATTTGAAACTCACGATATAATCATTATTATATGACCCATAAATTTAAAACAATCGTTTGACGGCAATTATTAGGAAATTAATTTGCTTGTTTTTTATTTTATTTTATCTAGAACTTAACAACTTTTAGTTATAAGAAAAACATAGATTAAAAACTTATACTTTCTACCCTTTTTTCGTTGTTGTTGTTGAGGGTTGGAACTAAAATATGAGCTCAGAGTCGCTTACTATGTTTATAGTAATGCATGCATATAATATTTTGTTTTCGCATTTATTAATATAATAGTCTAATACTTCATATCAATGTGACTTATATTCACAGAGTAAACTTTAGTGGCACTTTGAGTTACACAGTCTGTCTGCTATGTGGAATGTATAGTTGTTTGTTTTACATTTTATTTTGTAATACCGTTTTTCAAAACTTGGAAAACTAGTCATGCTGTTTGTTTCTCCGGCAACTTTCCATGGATCTATTTTATTTTTAAGTCGACTTGTATAATAGGTTGTAAATCGAGAAGTTTATTTATATACACAAATTTATTTCCTTTCAATTTTTGCCATGAAATATATGACTTTTATTCAAAATACTGCTCCTACGTATTTTGTGATCTATAGATTTAATATTATTTTTTTTAGAAACACCTTGGTAGTAGGTGTTACTTATGTAAATAAGTATATTTTATTTCAGATATAGAATATTATAATATGGTCGATTGTTTGCAAATTAATATTTTACAATTTTCAGTTTTTTGTATAATATCAACAATAAACAATAAACATAAATTGTATTTATTTGTCAAGATATTAAAAAATATATTTGTTTTAAACAATGATCAGTGATTATTATTATTACTTTATAGGTACGTTACTATAGATCAGTGGCCAGCGGAATTCAGTTTTTTTTTATTAACTGTTATAAATTGCAACGTCTTAAAGTTATACAATTAATCAATTGGAGTTGCCCACTGACGAGAGAGGGTTTGTATTATATAATGAGTTAAATTAATTTAAACAGACGGATGATTCTTTAAGCGATTATAGGTAATTGTATTATTATAATTAAACACTTTGATTATTTTTAGTTCATCAGAAAATACTATGCAGGAATAAAT